GCCCTTTTGGCTAACTTTCGGTGCCTAGCGCCTTTGTCAAGTCAAGCCTCAAATAGATCATATGAATTGTCTAATGAGCTCTACTTTTATGATACGAAAATATTTATGATTTTTTTACGCCCATTGAGATTGATTTATGAAGAATTGCTTCATTGGATGCACTTACCCTCTAATCTTTTCGTCTTTCTCTGAAATAAAGATCCCCTTGGTAGTGCGGAGCGATTGTTCATGCTCCTTTTGAATTTTACAGCAAACGGACAGATTTTTTTCAGTGCCGTCGTACTCGCTATGTCCTCTCGGCGATGACGCCAGGGATACGCGACAGTTGGATCACTGCACTTCAACAAAATAGGTAAGTCACTGATCAATATTTCTATTCAGTACATTGTCCTTGAATGGAACTTATGTGGATTGAAATGTTCTCATTCTAGGCATAATCCTTCACCGACGTACACCGAGACTTGCGCCTCGAATGACACGATGAGTATGGCAGACAGCTCAGATATTCTTGGCATGCCAATGGTGCGTCCCTGCTGATGCACAATATTCAAATTTACAATATTTAGTTTCCCTAAATAGAATTGAACACTATATGAATTCTACCACCTTCGTCGTAAAGCTGTAGGTTGACTTGTGCTTGAGCAAAATGATGTTCAGGCAACAACCCCAGACGAATTCGTCTCAGATAATCTATTTTGTGGGTCGGATAGAATGGCGCTAGGGTTTTAAAAAGTAGGCTAATGACGGCTAATGTGAGCTAATGGACGAGATACCTCGCGCACACCCATGACACGCAACGTGGATTACGACGTAGCGGCTAATTCAAATACGCGCGGGTTAGTGGAGCCATAGAGCAAGCAAGTGACTCTAAGACAACTCGTCAGACGCGATGCTCCCTCATTTCAAGGGAATGGAGAAGAAAAAGAGTTCTTGTTCAAGGACTTCATCGGCGGTTTACTTCGCCTCTTTTCTCATTTTCAGTCTACTCGGCATCCTCGTTGACCCACCAGTATGAACTAGGATTATTGCTTTCAATAATTTAGAGCATTTTTACTTGCTGTCATATTCCTCGCGCCTTTCACAGTGCTCCTTCATCAGCGAACATTGTCCACGCCTCTGTTAGACGTGACCACATTCCTTTTATTTGAACGTAGCATTTTTTCGTGGACCTATATATAAAAATTTCAGTCACACCCCTTCCCCCGTTTGCCACAGCTTTTGATTTTTCTCCCGAGTCCGAGAGGATTGTTGCCTTTTCTTCCATCTTCAGTGTTCAAAATTAAACGATCCTTTTCCGGGATGGCATTGGCGCTCTGTGCGACATTAGGGGCTTGAGCATGCGCTGTAGCGCAGCGCTAGCATGGTACATAGTGGCCGATCATGGCTAGCAATTGCTGGCAATGTCCAGTAGTTTTTGGAATCGCCCCAAACGGACCGTAGCGCTGAAATATTTCTTATGCTAATACACGACCCGTTCCGCGACAACCGCGTCTATTTTTTTCACACTGTGCAACCGCTTAATAATTCAGTTCGAGCAACATTCATGTTAACACCACTTTTTCGAAGCCATAGTTAACCAGTATCTTCATCGGCAAAACCAGTTATTTCGTACGATAACAAGAAAATATAAAAGAGACCGAGAAATCGATTAGCTAGGACGTTGACACAACGACTTGCGCGTCCAACGCTGAGGACTTTTCCAAATGTGCACGTGCTCATGGCTTCTTTTTGTTGCCTAGTGTAAAATTGATTATTACTGATTTTCAAATTTTGTGCAACACAAACATCCATCAAAAGTTATTCCGATAACATCTAAAGGTTCAAACTATACCTTAAATCACAGAGGCATTTGCGCTTCAATTCTCTGAAAATGCTTTTTTCGAGTGCCTCTTTGAGAAATACGACATTGGGCTCCTAACGAGGCCTCGACCAGCACACTTCTGAGAATTTTTTTAAGTTCTCTTTTTCATGATTTCTTATTTTGTTTTTTTCAGTGCTGTTCAAAAATTTTGATTCAATTTTCTAAAACTTATAGTTCCTCTCCGTTTCAGTATTTTCCCAAGACTTTTTCAGTAGCTTTACTGATCTGTGATATTTCAGCGTAAAAAACACATCGCCTATGTGGCACCAGACTTCTCGATCATCCACCTCGTTAATGGACGGCGACTCGTCCACGGAGGACGAGTTGAGCGCGATGCAACGCGGTCGCCATCGCCGAAGTCGCTCGAGTCGTGGCGGTTCGCGATCGTCCGTGGAGGTGTCGCGACGCGATCGCGGCAGTTTGTCGCCGTCTGTGCGTCGTTCTCCTCTTGCTATCGTCAAGGATCGAAATCATGAAATTCGGCAACGGTCAGTTATCGATTTCATCGATTTGTTTGCTGTTTAGTGCTTAAGTGCTCTTACACTCCATAACAACTAGAGGCACCGTGAACCACTCAGTAACTTGGGAGTATTTTAGGCATCACCTGTGGCTCATAATTCCAGTGGGCTCCATGATGGACAACTTTTGTTTTTAGGTACCCATCCACTTCGTCCGTAGCATCAAGCACAAATCGATCATAAAGCAAAAGTCTGAAAATCTGGCACCGTGGTTTTTCCTGCCTTATTCAGGAACAGCGTTTCAGGTCGTGGCTTGGAACCAACTTTCGCCTGTTTACTAGTCCCGTATTTTTATACTCTTACTCTCTACCGTGTGACATTAGGTTCGGATTTTGGTCCTGGAAATGTACCATCGGGAAGTGAATGATTCCCTAGACTTGAATTAAAAAAGGGCAGTTGTCATGTGTGGCTCAGAAATTGGCACTTCTGGAGCGAGGTACTGAGAGCTGGACCAATTATTTTGGGTGATCACGCACTATTTCTAAACCATTTCTGACTGGCTGTTGACGCGCGCGACAAATTCGCGCGGGCAAAAAACGGGCTTACTGGCCGTCTCGCTCCCTCAGCACTTCTTTATATGCGTCTGTGGGCCCGTATGGTATAACAACACGTCTCTTAAACGACATAGCAGTGGGACAGAGGGGCTCAAAATGTTTTTCAGAAAAGAATCGGGGGCTCAAGTTTGACTTTATGAACCAGCTGGGTGAGCGGTTTTCAGAGTCTCACGGCGAGTGGGCGATAAATCATTACGGGGGTGAGCTGCACGTCACCCACACGTGGTTCATGACGGGCCAAAGGCTGGGCCACGTTGTATGAGCTTGCGACGTTACAACGCCCTTTGAGCTTGCGTGCGTTTTTGCTATCTACGGTGGTTTTTAGACCATGCCGCAGCCTCTGTGAAAACCGATACTTGTGCCGTAGTAGCTCTCAAAATTTCTCGTATAGTAGTTTATTACATATAGTTAAATTTCATGTGATGGCTAGTTGTACAACCTTGCTTTTTCATTTCTTCTCTCTGTCTCTCTGGATTGCCCTTGGTTCTTATTCCTCTTTTCTCTCCTTCTTTGCATCTTTCCACAACCATTCCCTGAAAAATGCGAAAGGTTTTTGCATAGGTTTCTACCATTTTATTCTCCGTGAGCCACTGAAAATACCAAATACGATAAAAAGGCTCACTATCATTTTTTTCCTCACGATCGATTTATTGATTTCTCGGACTCCTCCAAAGTCCTCGTACTGGATGAGGCGTCATAAAATGGTGATATGTAATCAAAAATTTCTCAAGTTAAATAGGTAGAGGAACAGTTCTCAGTGCAACTGTTGGTTGTTTCGCGCGATCGATTTATCGACTTTTTGAGGTGTTTCGAAGTTTTCAATGTATCAAATTCGATCGCCCGATAATAGGTTTATAAAGGTTTTATGAGATTGACTGAAAGCGAAGAGCGAAAGCATTTTCGAATTGATGAAGAGTAACTTCGATAGAGTTACTGATTTTCCAGCGTCATTTGTTTAGTTCAATTTCTATAAATATTGGATGTTTAAAATAGGTAAAATTTGCAGTATAGCTAATTTCTATAATTTCAACGATTCTATAGAGATTTGCTGTTCGTGTGCAGATTGTTGTCAGCTAGCTCTGCATAATGTAGGTGTTATGTTTCATAGGTGGTGAACAGGTTGGAAGGCGTAGTATGATTGTGAAGGGCGCCGTTGTGATACGCTCTTAAAGGGTAGGTTATGGGTTCGATCCCCATACTTGGCACCCTCCAAAGGTCATGCTTACTCAATTTAATTCCTACTCTTAGTACCGAACCCCAAGTAGATAAGTCAACAGTGAATTCTGTTCTCACGAAGCCACATCAGTGCCGAGATTTCTATTGAAAAGCGCGTTTTTTGGGCAAAATCCGGTACGCCTGGGATTCGAACCGGCACCGTATTAGGCGCTCTTCTAGCTGCGCTAACCATTGCACCACCGGGACTCTCCAGACCTTTATATTGTTCAGTACGGCTCGTAAGGCGGGACTCTAGTTTTGTGTGGTAATGAACCAGTGGCAAATTCAAGAAATGATTTTCCGCTAGACCTGGTGAAGGCAATGAAGGGTGAGGGGGGGGGAACAAGGGCTTCTTAACTTGAAAGACTATCGGTGGTCTGTTTTGAAGGTGTGGTACAACTTGATCTGTGATATTTCAACCAATTCGATTTTTATAGCTTTTGGGTACGGTATTTGGTCTTGATGGAATTTTATTAACTAAGCTTTCCATTTCTCTGAATCAGTTTCCGTTTAAAAATGGATTAGTTCCTACCAAGTGACATGAAAACAACGATTTTCTCCCGTGAAGCCGGTTTCATGCAAGAGTGTCGTTGACAGCTCAGTCTAATTAAGCGTAAGATGTTACGAATGATATTAAAATAATTATAAAACGAGTTTTACGTGATGGCAAAACCGGGTCTGGTGGGTTCACGGTAACCTCGGCAATTGATTTCCCCCGGCTGAATAGCTAACAGTTCATTGCCGAATGCAACGAGGACGTGCAGAGATAGTTTATCGTCTGGTGATGACGTATACGTTGACTAAATCTACAAAGCAGACGCCCTGCGTCGCCCTTTCCGATGTTTCCTGCAGTCCCTTCCTGCTGATCATTCTTTTCTCTCTTTCGTTTGTTTCCTCATTTTCACTCCATATGGGACCAATCAGTGAGATCTGCAGAAAACTTCACTCATAGACATCCTGTGTGACAATTCGCCCCCGGTCGCTACTTTCCTCTACTCATTCCTCACTCATATTCCTTCTTTCCTCCTCGTTCTTTTCCCCCACACATTGCGAGCATCACCGGTCTTTTCTTACTGGAATGCGCCATGTGCTTACCTGCTACACTTGTAATTATAAATTTATATATTCCTTCCCGTTGGCGCTGCATATTGGCCT